CAGGCCCCCTGGGCAGGTGGGCCCGCCCCTGTGGACATTCTTGTGGGCGGCGGGGGACAAGTCCCCCCGGAACGGGTGGGTGTTGGCCACCCATGGCTCATGGCCTTTTTCCCTCCTTTCCCCCTTTGGGATTCCAAACCCCCCCCCCAGCCGGGCCGAGTTGTTTGGACAAAAAAGGGTTCCGTGTTCGCCCTGCGGAAATTGATCGTGAATTTCCCCATGACTTTGCCCAAGGTCCCATTTCCCCACCCCAGTCCCGCATTCGCCCTAGGGGGTTTTGCGGTTTTTCCGCCCCGTCTCGTGGGCCAGGGCCCCATTGGTTTGTAACGCCCCCCCCCTCTCAAGGGCAGGGCTGCCTGGCGGTCCCCTGGTAACATCCAAAACCTTTTCCCCCCCCCCCCCCCTTCGCCGACTCGTTTTGCATGGCTGCTCAGTCCTGGGCGCATGTCAGTCGTTGTCATCGTTGTCGTCGTTGTCGTTGTCGTCGTCTCGCTCGGAAGCCGAGTACATACCATCGCACGCGCAGCCCCATCCACTGCTTCCACAAACACACAAAAAAGACACACAGACCAAGACACACGTTCACACACATACACACACGCATACACACACACACACACACACATATATACATACTATACATACATACACGCACACATACACTCAGACTATGGACCTGTCGCGCAAGCCCTCCCCTGTGCCTTTTCGTCCTGTCCCCCAAGGCAGGGAGCTGGCCACCTACGGCCAGGCCGTGCAGTGCAGAGCCTCTCGCAGGACCCGCCTAGCTTTCTCCCCAAGTGCTGGATTCTCCCCCCGCTCCCAGTCCTCGTCTTTCTCTTGTTCTGTTGCCTCTGTCCAAATCCCAAATGGTACTAATTCCACAACCACCCTGGCCCGTGCGCGGGGCTAAGCTGCTCTGGCTCGCTCGTTTCGGCGCGCTGGGCGTCCCTTCCTGAAGCACCCATCTTGCCTCGTACACTGCCTGCCATTTCGACCTTCACCCTCTACCCTCACCTCCTTGTGCCCCTCAAAAAGCCCGCTGTCGAGCGCCCGCCTGTTTTGAGCGCACTCGCTGCCGTCCACTCCCGCCGTGACGCCCGCTCGCCTCTCTTTGTTAGCCGGCCCCCCTCGCTCCTCGCTCTCTCGCTCTCCCTCTCTCTCCTGCCGCCTCCGCCTCCACCTCGATAGCACGCTGCCCGTTGTCCAGTGCCTTGTTGCCTCGACCTCACCGCGCACCTATGCACACGGCTACCCGTCTGCTCATTCTACCCTTCGCATGCTAGGAGTTGGCCCTGCAGTCGTCCACTACCCCCGAGGCTGGGGTCGACACTCTTGATCGTGCCCTCACACGCCGCAACCGGCCACGAAAGCCTCTTCACCTGGCTCACTGCCACCCCACCCGATAGCCACTCGAATCGTTCGCCATCAAGCAGCCATCGTCGGTGGCCGTCGTTACATTCGTCTCGCAGCCGTCTCGCCTGCTGCGTCCTGCCTCGTCGCGCGTTGGGCGTCATGCGACACCTACGACTCATAGCACATCAAGCGTAAAACCACAGCTACATCCCATCGTACCACTCACCCAGCGTGCTTGCCAGATTATGACAGAAGTCTCGTCCGTCCAGGCGCATGCTGAACCTCAGCCCGCATCGCTTGCCCTATTCAACGTCCCTGCAGCACCGCCTTCACTCACCAATGGCTCTCCCGCGCCGCGCGAGGTAGCCGCCGAGGAGGAAGAGTCGTCCACGATCAAGTGCATCTGTGGTTTCGCCGACGACGACGGCAATACGGTGCTGTGCGAGAAGTGCGACACATGGCAACACATTGTCTGCTACTACGAGTCTGCCTCGCAGGTCCCCGATGTCCACGAATGCACAGACTGCCTCCCAAGACCTATCGACTCGCGTGCCGCATCCGAGAAACAACGTCAGCGTAGGGAATTGCTCGTCAGCGAGAAGAAGAGCAGGTCGAAATCAACTGTCAAGAACCCAAAGAAGCGCACCAAGGATCCGCTCGGCTCCGTTCAGCCCAACGGCTGGCCGGTACAATCGAATCATGACCTTCACTACAACCCAGACCGTAAGAGTGGCAGCCCAAGGGACCAGCCTCCACCTACGAAGCGGCCAAAGACCAGCCATCGCGCCTCTCACTCGGTCAGCGTCATCAGCCAAGCACCTGCCCTCGCTCCTACCTCGCGCAAACGAGGCGCGTCGGTCATGCTCAACGGCCACAGCCCTGTCAAGTCTCCCACGAACCCAGACGGACCCATCGAAGACTTTTCCATTGAATTTATGAGCCTGTATACCCAAGCTGAGGTGCCTTCACCAGAGGGCAATTCCTACACACGCATCGATGTAGCCAACGACATTGCGACATGGCTCACTGATCCAGATGCCCTGGCCGAAGCTAGTGGTGGTAAGAAACCACAGGACCTCTTCTCGCGAATCGAGACCCCGATACAGGAACTGGAGGCTCCTGAAATCGTCAGACGAGTCGATATCGACTCTGCCACGACGGCACACGGCCTGCATCCTCAGTGGCACTTCATCACCGTGGAGGCACCTGTTGCTGACGGTGGCTATATTGGCGAGCTAAAGGGTCTAATAGGCCGAAGATCAGACTACATTGAGGATCCCGCCAACCGATGGGGTCTGCTGCGACACCCAGAACCCTTTGTCTTTTTCCCTCCACACCTGCCAATATACATTGACACTCGGCAAGAAGGCAGCATTCTACGCTACGCACGAAGCACAGCAATGATGCCTGTGGTCAG